ATAAATGGAAAAAGAAAAAAGCAAGAATTGGTTAGTCAGTAGCAGCATTGTTAACTCCAGCCGGTCATGCAGCAAAGCCATTCAGCTGCTACTGCAGTTGTGTGGTAACTCAGAATAAAGTGCAGGTCTTTGCTGTCATCACTTCCCAACTGTACATTTCATCATTTTTCAAGCAATGCTCAGGTATGGGAACGTAATTTCAAAAGGGAAGTCTGGGGGGATGTTGGTGGGTTCCACAGCAAGGGAAAGGAACTCTGGCACAGACTTCAAACTATGAAAAATCATTACTGTCCCTCATTCACTATTCACCAGTTTGTGCCTTGTGTCTGCTTACTTCTGTTTACTGGCCCTCATTCACTATCCACCAGTTTGTTCCTCCTTCTTGTTTTCACGGGGTCTCTTTTCCCACTTTTTCTCCCCCCAACCATCTCTGCACTCATGTTATGAATCAGGCCCTCCAGTACCATGCAAGGGCACTACTGGCAGAAATTCATTTGTTCAGTTTAGTAAGTTCCAAGTATATGCTCAGCCTTGGGCCTAATGGTGAGGATCTCAATGCTAAGAGCACTACTGTCCTCTGGTTCTGGAAGCCTGGAAAGAATTGCTTTTGAAGAAACTTAAGTCTCAACCTGACTCGGATTCCAAGGAAATGAACCCGCTCTGAAACCTATTCAAGTGTCTTAGGCAGCTGCTTATTCTTATCTCCCGTGTTTAATCCTTTGAGAAAGGATCAGAGAAGCATAACAGGATTCCACCTAAAAGCAAAAGTAATATAATGGCCTGGTACTGGTCTCCCATTTTCATTCCCACCTTCACCCTACTTCCAGATGAACTGCGCTGGAAAGAAGCTCCCTCAGAAAGCCTCCCGCGATGCTCCAGGATTTACTTTTATTAAACGCAGTCTCTTCACTGCCATGCAACGCACCCCGTGACAGGGCTACTAGAACTTATTTTCTCACTGTTAAGTCTTCCACCAAATGTAGCCCGATCACACTTAGTGAAAACGTATGACGTATCTTCTCACACCCCAATCTTTTCCAGCTTTCCCTCTGCGTGGATGTGGCCCCACTCCGTGGTGCGGACACGTCGGGTTCAAGGTCTTTGACCATTTCCCCAACCATAAGTCAACTTTGACTTCCTTGGACTCCCGCAGCGCTCAGCCTAGGCCTCCCGCGCTCTTCCTAACCTGTGTAACTACTGATGGTCACGAAAACGCCCCCGTCCTTTGGCCAGATTCCTTGCAGCAAAGACTGCCCTGTGCACTCCAGCCCTGCCCGCACGTAGCCGACCTAATAAGTAACCCGTTGCCTGGCGAAGGCTGACGCTAGGAGAGCCCTGATGATCAGGAGACGCCGACAACCCGAAATGCCCGGATCCTAAGAAGTAGGGTTCACGAACTCTGGCAGAGACTGCAGGCGACACAAGATGGGAAGGGGGTTCCCATCATCCAGGGAGCATGCCGTGGCGGACGGAGCGGGAGCCAAGACTGCAGGGGACCTAAATCCCATAGTAGGGGCCGCGGCCCGTCGCTCGTGGGACCCGGGCCGAGCCGCGCCTCCATGTCCCTGTCAAGGACACTACAAATGGGACTCGTCTCAGCGGCTGAAACCTACCTCACCAGGAAAACGTGATCGCTGTGAGGGACGCGCGGCCCAGAGGAGGGAACAAGCCCTCGGGGGCCGCCGATCCTGACCGGGACGCAAACACCAGGAAGACCGAGGGCTCCGCGCGCGCAGGGGCGGCCACCCTCGCCGGGCGGGGCTCGGGGGATCAGGCGCAGCCGGCCGCCGGAAAGCCACGCACGCAGGCACCAGCCGGACGCGCAGCGCCTCCCGGAGCGGGGACGCGAGGCGGCGATAGCCGCTGGCCGAGCCGCACGCAGGCCCCTCTAGGCCGCGGCGGGAAACGGGACACTCGGTAGCATTAACTCTTTCCGGCCACCAGGGCAGCACCCGGAGGAAGGCCGCTGTCCCTCCGCGAGGCCTCGGCCCGCGGAGCGGCTGCTCGAAGCCCCTCCCCGGAAGGGCGTCAGCCCGCTTCCGTCCGAAGCCCGGTGTTGGATGGGGCCCGGGTAGCGACGCGGGCCTGAGGGACGGTGCTGAGGACGGTCCTGCGCGGGGCGGAGGGCGGCGGCCTGCAGGTGAGCGGGTGGCAGGGGGAGCGGCGTCGGCCCTGGAGGTCCCAAGGGACCTCAGCCGCCATTGTCCGCGGACCGCGGTGTTTCCGGGCCGGTCGGCGCAGCCTGACGGCGGAACCATTTCTGGAAGCCCCGCCGTCAGGCTCCGGAGGCCATCCTGTTGTCCGCCTTTGCGCAGACGGCGTCGGGGCCTCGCTGGCCGGTGTTGCCGCGCGCCGGGGACCCAGGCGGTGCAGCCTCGGAGACGTCGGCCTTTGCTGGTACCCAAGCACGGCAAGCGTCCCGGTGCCCGCTGAGCTTGCTGGGCAGCCGGCGGCCGGCCATTTGGGAATACCGTGGCATCCTGGTCGACTTTGGGTGCCGTTCCTGCCGGCTCACGGCCGGGAAAGCGAGGTCCCGGGACTCTCCTCAGTCTCGCCTCGAGGTCTAAATGAGCGTCGAAGAAAGGGAAGGTGGGCCGAAGGGTCACCCTCAACATCACCAACTCTCCTCCTCTCCTCCTTTGCGACTTGGCCTGTGGATAAACGTTTTGTAAGCGAAGATCAGCTGTGATTTTTCTGGGTCAAGTAAAGAGATTTAAAAACACAGGAATGGATCTTGTGCACGGTGCCCTTTATGCTTCTTGCAGGGAAGTGTCAAACAAGAGTGTTGAGCATCTAGTTACTTAATCCGGGGATGCTGTCTGAGAAGAATAGGACCGCTTTTTCCCTAATTACTTTGCTCCTTCTCTGGTCTCACTTCTGTGTCCCCCCTCTCCTGCCAGTATTCGTACAGTGGAAAGGAGACTCTGGAACGTTCCACGCACTGAGGGCTTCCGTCTTCACAAGAGGATGAAGGGTCAGGGAAGTTGGACCCCCTTACTAGAGACAGAAGACTGGGATGACACGTTAAAATTTAAGAGGAACTCAGAATATTCTCCTGATGTCCCTTGGTATGGGGAAGTTGGCATAGGAAGCACAGCAATGAAGTCTTTGGATAATCCCCAGGCTCCTTGCCTCCAGAGGGTGTAAATGTTCTCACTGTCTAACCTTTCTTGACTCATTATTTTTGCAAAGGCCAAGTCCTCAGTGGGCATTTTTCTATCAATGAGCTGTGCCTTATTTCAAGTGGATAATAGAAGAAGAAAGGGTCTGGCAGTGGATTCTTTAAAAGGAGAGCAGGGGCACCTCGGTGGCTCAGTCGGTTATGTGGCTGCCTCGGGCCAGGTCATGATCTCTGACTTCTGAGATTGAGCCCGTGTCAGGCTCCCTGCTCATTGGGGAATTGGCTTCTCCCTCTGACCGTCCCTTCTCTCATGTGCTCTTTTTCTCTCTCTCCCCCCCCTCAGATAAATAGATAAAATCTTTAAAAAAATAAGGTCAAATTAAAAAACATAATAAAAGGAAAGCAAGGCAGGAATTTTCTGTGCATTTTTCACCCATTATGAGTAGTGGGTAGTAAAGTTCATGTGACTTTCTTACTGATGTGCACTTTTTTCTGCTGTCAGTGTTTTAGTAAGAAGATCCTTTTATTGATTTTATTCTAGGCCATGCATGGTCTCAGTTGCCAAAAAAGGTGGTAATGGGTGAAAAGTAGAAGACAGGAAACCACTAAGGGAAGGTTGTAAGTCAAGGAGAAAACCTGTCAAGACAGTACGTGTATATGTAATCTATGCAACCCTGCTAGTCTGTGCTTTGCTGCATGCAGATGGGTGGGAGCAACTGTGTCTGAGAGGTAGCAGTTGCCACAACTTTTTTTCCCCCCAGGAAGTGAATACCTTGTGGGAAATTGATGGCCCAATATCTCCTTTCGTCTTTCAGTCATTTCTCTTAGTGTTTCATACTTCCTACCATCCGTACTCAGCTTTTTCCTCTTTCTACCACCAACCCCCTAATCAAAAGTAAGTTATCTGTTAGTAGATGAAGATTATTTATTTCTAGGTTGCAAACCAAGAGTTTGGAAAAGAGGCCGTGCTCTTCAGACAAACTGTAGATGTCACAGGCTTCAAGAGGAAGGCATCAGAGTCACCGCCAGTGGACATGTCCCATGATGAATTTTGGACTATACACCAGGGGCTGCAGGAACACCTGAGCTGGAATTCTCGTAAGGAAACTGAGCCTGTGTGTGAGACAGGTAGGGCAGGACATGATAAGTACTATTTCCTAGGAACTGATAGGAATTTGTGCGATTTGTATTTTCTATATGTTGAGCTCTGTGGATCTATAAACAGACACATTAGCAATTATGATGGTCCCCAGGTGTCAGTAGAGTAGACCAGTTCTGGGTGAAGTTGGACATTGGCCTATGATATAGTAGTATCTATACCACTGAGCTCTGGTAGTAACACCATGAACTCTTCTTTAGAAAACTGGAGGTAATAGGAGCCATCTCATTTTTATAAAATAAGAAATTGAGATCAGAAATGGGTTATCAGTGGCAGAATATGAACACAATTATGTATCAAGAAAAATAATGATGCAAAAGTCGTATCTTATTATACACTGGATTTCCTGAGTACTTCATTTTTAAATATGTATGAGTTTTGCCTAATTGAGAACAATTTATTTCATCAGAGGAAACTAAAAACGGTTTTTCTTTCATTATGTCACTCCTGAAAATCGTGGAACCTATTCTAGGTGTCAGTTGATAATTTGGCTCCTATTTGTGATGAGAAGGCTACTTTAAGACACCATACACACTTGCAAATGTGTTCTGTTTCTGTTGAAAGAATTGGTAGTGTCTGTATTTTAGAAATAGGGTCAGAATGTTCAAAGAAGTGAGAGCAATTTCCTCTGGCTCTTTTCTACCCACAGCTATGCCTATTCACCAGATCCTAGTCTTTTCTGAGAAGACAAATACCAAAGACTGGACAATGGCACCTGAGCTCGTCTTGCCTGAGTCCCAGGTGAGGTGTGCAATCCAGCTATAGAGGGCTGTCTTTTCCTGCTGCCCAGGACCCACACTGCCCAGCTCACAGGCATCTTAGCCCCAGTGTTTTCCCTGGGGAATCCATTGCTTTTTTTCCTTTTTGCCTTCTCACTTAAAAAAAAAAAAAAGTGGGTCACCTACTTGGCTCAGTTGGTTGGGCAATTGCGTTAGGCTCAGGTAATGATCCCACGTGCTTCTCCCTCTCCATCCCCCCACCCCTCTGCTCATGCTCTCTTTTGCTGTCTCTCTCTCTGTCCAATAAGTAAATATTTTTAAAAATCCTTAAAAAAAAAAAGTGTTATTAATTCCTGGATTGCCCAGGATCTACCATGGGCCAGATGGTAGGGCTGGTTCTGTAGTGCAAGTACTGAGCTGAAGCCCATTGTCTTCTTTAGAGCTTGTTGACATTTGAAGAAGTGGCCATGTATTTTTCCCAGGAAGAATGGGAGTTACTGGATCCCACTCAGAAGGCCCTCTACAATGATGTAATGCGGGAAAACTATGAGACTGTCATCTCTCTAGGTAAAGAATCTCCCTCGCATTGGGTAGAAGTTGAGTAATCTGTCATATTCTCTGCTTACTGGGAATGTATTCCTCTGAGAGGCTGTGTTCCAATAACAGGTTGTTTCTCACCTAGATGGTGTGTGGACAGAAAAAGGTGTATCCAGATCACCTGGGGAGCTTTGTCCAGGTGCACATGGTCATTTCTTACCCTAAACTTCTTGATCCCTTCCTCCCCTCCAAATCTGCTCTTTTTTTACCTTTCACATCCCCATACAAGGTACCACCATTTATCCAATCTGTCACACCAGAAAAATACAGTCGTCCTTAGGCATAATCTTGCAATCACAACCCACTTCTAATGCATCACTGTCCATTTGGCTCCACCTTCATAGTGTAGGCAGAGTGCAACCATGTCTCATCCTTTTATTATTTTAATGTCCTGATCAAATCATGAAATTTCTGTGCTGTAAATCTTAGGATGTCTTCTCATACATTCAGAATAAAATCCATATTCCTTATTGAGGTACCCAGGAGCCTATAAGATCTGGCTGCTGCTCACCTTCCTGCCCTTGTCTTTTTCCACTGGTGTCTTTGTTCGGTCTTCTTTATCCACACTGATTTTGCTGTTGCTTTAACTCACCAAGCTAATTTCTACCTTTCCATTTCTTCAGCTGGCACATTGACTCTGAGTTCTATATTTTTAAACACCCCTGATATTTGCCCAACTCAAAACGTTTTATATAATATAAGAAAAAATAAGATTTCCTTTTACTGACTACATGAAAACTGAAGACAGTCAACTGGGGAATGATTTTGGGGGTTATTAGATACTCGATTCTTATTTACTGTGAGAAGGTCACTACTAGATATCACTTAACATTTGTAAACATGTCCCATATGTACCAAAAGGAATAGGATCTTCTGTATTTTAGAAATGAGGTAAGGATGCTCATAGACTGAAGTGAGAGAAATTTTTGCTGGCTCTTTTCTACCCACAGCTATGCCTGTTCACCAGATCCTAGCCTTTTCTGAGAAGACAAACACCAAAGACTGGACAGTGGCACCTGAGTTCATCTTGCCTGAGTCCCAGGTGAGCTGTGCAATCCAGATATTGAGGGCTGCCTTTCCCTGCTGCCCAGGACCCGACTGCCCAGCTCACAGGCATATTAGCCCTAGTGTTCTCGCTGGGGAACTGGGCACTTCCTAGGCTGTTAATGATCCCTTGCTTCTTTCCATTTTGCATTTAAAAAAAAATGTGCTATTAATTCCTTGAATGCCTAGGGTCTACCATGGGCCAGATGGTAGGGCTGCTTCTGTAGTGCAAGTACTGAGCTGAAGCCCATTGTTTTCTTTAGAGCTTGTTGACATTTGAAGAAGTGGCCATGTATTTTTCCCAGGAAGAATGGGAGTTACTGGATCCCACTCAGGAGGCCCTCTACAATGATGTAATGCGGGAAAACTATGAGACTGTCATCTCTCTAGGTAAAGAATCTCCCTCTCCCATTGGGTAGAAGTTGAGTAATCTGTCATGTTCTCTGCTTACTGGGAATGTAGTCCTCTGAGAGGTTGTGTTCCAATAACGGGTTGCTTCTCAACTAGATGGTGTGTGGACAGGGGAAAGGTGTATCCAGATCACCTGGGGAGCTTTGTCCAGGTGCACACTCCATATGCTATGTAGATTTCTTGATTTATTTTTTTCTCCTTCCCCAACTCTGTTCTCATAGACCCCTTTTCTCAGTAAAGAGCATTCACCCAGTAGCTAAGAGGAAGGAACGTACAGTCATCCCTTACTGAGATCTTGCTGTCCTACCCCATTGTAATGCATCACTGTCCTTTTGGTTCCACCTTCACAGTGTAGCCTGAGTGCAGCCATGTCTCATCTCCTTGTGCTGTTAGCGTCCTGGCTTAAGCCAGCAGCATGTCTAAGCAGAATGAGCTGGGTACTTTCTGACTGGTGCCCTGCCACACTCTGTTTTCCACACAGCAGCCAGACGCTTTTAAAAACTGGTCAAATCATGACATTTCCCATTTCAAATCTTATGATGACTTCTCATCACATTCAGAGTAAAATCCACACCTTACTGAAGTGCTTAGGGTCCTCCAGGGTCTGACCCTACTCACCACCCTGCCCTCATCTGCTGCCACTTGTGCCCCTGCTCAGTCCTCTTGAGCCTCACTGATGTGTCTGTTTCTTGAACTTGCCATGGTCATTTCTACTTTGCCCTTTCCTCTACCTGGCACAGTTTTCTGCCACATGGCAAAACTCACTTTTACATTCCTGCTGCAATATCAGTTTTTCAAAGAGGCCTTCTGTACTACCTCATCTAAAATAGCTTCAGAGAAGCAGAGTCTTAAATGCTGAGTTAACCTGCCTTAGTTTTCTTCAAAATATTTACTACGTGCTGACCATTTTGTTTATTTATTGCGGTTTGGTTGTCTCGTCCCACCGGAAGGTGAGATCCCATGAGATCAGGGTGCTTTGACTTAATCACCACTATATCATTAGCCCAAAGAGAGTTCCTGGCACATTATAGCCAGTCGGTACATCCTGATTGAATGACTGAGTGATGACTACTTCCCCAACTTGGCGATATATATTTAGAAAATTTTCATTAAGTAATTCTAGTCTGTTTCTTCCACCTGGACAAAACCAGTGACTTAAGGAGTGTAAGAAATCTTTTCTAGTCCAGTATGTGTTGCTCAAGAGCTAAGTAAGAAGTCACTGTTATCATGATAGGAATCACTGGTACATAGGACATGCAGCCCACTGACCTTCACCTTGCTCTGCTAGACTTGGGCTAATCCTAAGGAATTAATAGGACTAACCTGTATTCCCTGCAGACTCGGGTTTGGTTCCACCTTGTTGAAATATAGGGTAATCTTGGTGGCAGAAGAGGGGCAGTGTAGATGGATTCCCATGCCCTTTATCCTCTACATGGGTCCAGCTTAGGTTTATTTCTCTGTCTCCACGTTGTGTATCCACCCACAAATGCAGTATAGTATAAACCTGAAACCAGATAGGAGAGTCTACCCATTTGACCATTTGGGTGTCATACTGTAAACGGTCCTTTGCTCTTCCTGAAATAGTGTGGAGTCGGTGGACAGTTGTTGAGTTGCCAATCCTTGACTCCTTTTTTTCCATTTCACAGCATTATTTGTGCTCCCCAAACCTAAAGTGATCTCCTATCTAGAGCAAGGGGAAGACCCATGGGTTCAAGGGCCCTTGGAGTTGAAGAATAGTCCTGGAGAGCTGCCTTCAGGTAAATATATACCATGGGAAGAGTACAAATGCGCCTTTGATAGCAAGCTTTACAGAGACTTGACATTTCAAATTCTGCTTATCTATATTTTGTGAATCAGTGATCATTGGATTTTCTCTCCATTCCTGTACTTTTGCTTTGCCATACAGTTGGCTGATTGTTATGTTTATTCCCACAGGGTTAAAGGTCAAAACTGACAATGAAAACCATCAGCCTGTGTGTCTTTCTGACTTAGAAATACAAGCACCGGAAGACATAGTATCAAAAAAGACCCGAGTGAAAGTTCCCCAGAAAACAACAGGCAAAGAAAATCATGGTGATATACACAGGATGGGGAAATGGCACCGAGATTTTCCCGTGAAGAAAAGAAAGAAACTTTCAACTTGGAAACAAGAGCTGCTAAAACTTATGGATCTTCACAAGAAAGCTCATGCTGGAGAGAAGCCATTTAAATGCCAGGAATGTGGGAAAAGCTTCAAAGTTAGCTCTGACCTTATTAAGCACCAAAGAATTCACACTGAAGAGAAACCATATAAATGTCAACAGTGTGATAAGAGGTTTAGATGGAGTTCAGATCTTAATAAGCACTTAACAACACACCAAGGAATAAAACCATATAAATGTTCCTGGTGTGGGAAAAGCTTCAGTCAAAATACAAATCTACATACGCACCAAAGAACTCACACTGGAGAGAAGCCCTTTACATGTCAGGAATGTGGGAAAAAATTCAGTCAGAACTCCCACCTTATTAAACATCGGAGAACCCACACAGGTGAGCAGCCATATACTTGTAGCGTATGCAGGAGAAACTTCAGCAGGAGGTCAAGTCTTCTTAGACACCAGAAACTCCACCGCTGAATGGAAGTTTATTCCAGTGTCCTCATTCTGAAGAAATTCACAAAGTAGAGGTCGACCCTGAGATTTATGAAAAAATACAAAATTATGAAGCATAAATAAGTTTTCATCAGAGGAAAATTTGGTGATATAAACATATTTCACAGGAAGGAATCAAGGTTGACTCTGCAGGGATCTCTGTAAGTAGTTTTGTACTACTTACATTTTTACACGTAACCTTTGGGGAATTCCTTAGCAAGAAAAGTGCTGAAAGAACATTCTCAGTAAGGGAAACATTTTTGCAGTTGTACCTGGCAAAATAGCAAATTCAGCTTTAAATGGCAGATGCATACATGAATCAGTCTTCTCTAATCACAGAGGGTAAATACTGTTGGCTTTGCATTGAATTCCCAGCCACTTTTAAACACATTGATAGAAACATTTGTAGCCTGGTCTTCCAAAAGAAAAAGCAATAACCTGCATGTTTAATTGGATACCATTGCCTTTAAGGTAGTAGGCTTACCAATTTCAAGAGCCCTGTGACACAAAAATGAAGTCTGTTGTCAAATTTTCAAAGAACCAAATTGGATTTTCTTCCTCTCCCTTGTCATTGGACACTGTTCCCACTGTTGGACATCATTTGAGTTCATTCTTGAACATTTTAGCAACTTTAGCTCTTGAATCCTTTTAGCACCATTTTTACTGTGATGAAATGCTATTCACCACTAGGGAATCTGCCAGATAAACTAATAATGCACTATCTTATACCTCATTGGTGGTGTTTGAAAAAGATAAACATCTCTAATGAGATCATCTGAAAACGGGTTGGAATGTTTAGCTATGGATTATGTATTACATGTAATTAATTTTCTGCAATAAAAGAAACTAGTCCCTTATAATCTCAGTATGATAAAAGATAAAAGATAGCACTTTCTTGAGGCCTAAAAGAAAATTAATGGAAGTTCAGGTGAACTTCTCACTTTTTATATGCTTTTTTGTTTGGCTTTGTTTATTTTTAAGAAAAAGGGCAGAGTTTAGGAACTGGAGTGTGTGCTGCAGGCAGGATGTGGTTCACTGAGTGTGGCAGAAGACTGGATTCCCAAGAGGAAAGGTTTGGGAACTGATGTTGACTGGTGGACAAGGATGGGTGAATCTGCATTCATGTTGGTTGTCTTACACTGTTAACTATTACTAAGCAGGCGGGGTCTACCTGTCTCTGTTTTGTACGCAGCATTTAACAACAGCCTTAGCTGATAAGTGATATAGATGGCTGAACATCTCTCTGGGCTGTGGATCTTCTTAGAACTCCTACCTACAGCAGTGACATATGTTCCTGTTAGAGCTTTTAGGTTGTATCAAGAAGGGGGGTGAAGGGGGTTAAATGATTTCTCCCAAATACCTTATAAATGATCAAGTTAAGGCTCAGATACGGGACTTGATTCAAGACCCTATTGCTAGTGGGTCCATTCGCTGCCAGCTAGCTGCATCAGGGAGGCCTGAAGGCAGGGCTAGGAGGATATGTATGTTATCCCTGCGGGACCAGGTTGGATGACATTGTGTTGTATTTACTTCTAACTTATAAAACATTCTTGTGGCTTGATTGGTTCCCAAAACACTTAGGTTGCCATGTGTTCTGTGAAAGAGAGAAAACTGTTTCAACTCAGGGTTATTCTAGGGACTAGGGGGATTGATGAATGAAAAGCACCTCACAGCCTGGCCAGTGGTAGATGCTCAGTCAATGTGCATTTGCTTCCCTTTCCCCTATTCCCCAGTGATATGCTGGGCAGACTGACTGCAGTAAGGAAGCAGTTGTGTTTATGGCTATTTTCAGCTCCTTTCAGGAGTTGTGCACTGCTGGTGGTGATGTTGCTCAGTTGATTTGATCCTTGGCCTCAGTACTTTATGGTGTAAGTCACCTGAGCTGTGGATATGGTGCTCTCAGCAGGATTTTGTTTTCTTCCCCAAGATGAACAATACCAAGTATTATTTCTTAGGCACAGCCAACTTTAAAGCTTTCGTCTGCATAGCTTTTATCCATCACCCTCATCCTTAGGCTTCGGGTACTGTCTCATCCCCGGATACATGTGGACATCTTCCTGGTGCTACATTCATTCAGTTTCATGGGGGCCTCTTACGTGCCCAGGCACTGTTTGGTCTAGACTGAGAATATAGTAGTGAACAAAAGAGCTAAAGATAGACCCTCACAGGACTTATACTCTAGTGAAGAGTATAAAGAAGACTGGTTATAGTTTTCTGCTCCTTGCAGTTTAGGGTCATGAGATAGTTGAAGGTAACGGGTTGTGAGCAGAAGCCCCACTTCTGCGCTGAAGACTGTTTGTGCAAAACTCTGGGGTGTCCTTCCTACCTCAGTCATGGAAGTCCAGCAGAAACTGGGGCCACAAGGTCAAAGTAGTCTGGAATGCTGAGCGCCGCCCCCCACATGGAGAGCAGTTGTCCTGGAAATTTGCCCAGACCTGTGATGGACTTTTGGGAATGAGAAATAAACTTCTGTTAAACTATTGAGATATTGGTGTCATGTGTTTCTGCAGCATAACCTGGCCTGTCTACATAGACACAGCTATTCTACTAGAGCTCTGGAACCCTTTCTGTGTCAGTCCACGTGGACTTTGGCCCTCAGAAGAGATCTGCCGTCCTGAAGATGCTCCACTGAGCTCATGTAACACTGATAGGCACACTGAGGAGCTTACAATACTAGGTGATAGGAAAGAAGGACAGATTTTTTTTACCTGAGACAAGTCTGGGTTGGTTAGTTTTTCAAGTGGACAAAGCAACCATCCCTCCATCTCTGGCTTCATTCCCCTTCCCTTGCTCTCCTTTCCTCTGTGCTCCACTGCTTTTATACCTAAAGATGTGTTTCTGTTGATCAGTGGGCTACAGAGAGGGTAGGGGTTACCTTTTTTCCTCCTGTGAGTGCAGTAGACTTTAAGCATTCATTTGGTAACTACCTCTCTCATACCTTCTGCAAGTTGGCCTCAGAAACAGGACATAGGGCAGAAGCAGATTTGTTCTGATCAGTGTAGAGAGGAAGGGGACTGCCCTCTTGGACTAAGAGGTGGTAGTTGGGAGGAAGGTCATGCAGGAAAGCAGGAGCAGGACATTGCAGTTGAGGAGTGAGAAGCCTCTGTTGGGAATGTCTGCATAGCCAAGAACCAGCAGTACAATGTTCCACAACTCATGCTTGGAAATTTTGGGGTGGACATGTGGACATTGGAAGAAGCAGTTTCTGTACCCTGTCAAAGGGGTCAGAGCAGACTACCAAAAATGCAACATAAAATCAAAATCTATTTAGGCTTGGTTTCTTTTTTGTTAAAGATATTATTTCAGAGAGAGAGAGTGCGAGAGTGCAAGCATGAGCGGCGGAAGGAGCTGAGGGAGAAGCAGACTCCCCGCTGAGCAGGGAGCAGGGAGCCCGATGTGGGGCCGGATCCCAGGACCCTGGGATCATGACCTGAGCCGAAGGTAGACGCTTAACCTACTGAGCCACTCAGGCGCCCCTATTTAGGCTTTGGTTTAGAGATGAAGTGCAACACACAACCTTAGGTTTAGCCTGAAACGTTCGTATTAAAGTTCTCAGAAATGTCTTTTATAACCAAATGATTCTAGGACAAACCAGAAGGTGCTTCATTTCAGGTGATTCAGATAACAGCCTTACAGTGGCTCCAAGCTTGGTTCCAAGAACTGGAACAGTGAGCAGCGTAACCCTGAAATCCTCTCAGCAGTGTGCTAAGTGGCCACAGTGTAGGGACTGTGCCAGACCCAGAGTTCTCCCCACCCTTAAGCAGACTGTGTCTGGAACCTCAAGCTGATCTTGAGACCCTCCACTGTCTTAGCTGGAGGGGAAGCAGAGGAGGAGAGCTTGGAATCAAACTAAAAGTGCTAGGGTTGATCAACTTTTGGAACCGTGAGAAGAGTGTCTAATTCGCCTGGAGAGCTTGAGAGCAGGAATGCTAAGCAGCCTTTTCGATCCAGCTGGACAGTTGGGATAACACAGAAGGTCTGAATTCCTTAAAGGATTTTCTAAATATTCATTTGAGTCACTCCACAGACAGGAGTTTACTGACCACCCTCTGCATTTCCTGGCCGGTCGCACTCGATGTAATGGGTCAAGGCTGCCCGTTACTTTCCTCTCTGGGTTTTACCTTCTGTTGCTTAGAGTGGATTCTTTGCTGAAGGGCTCACATTGCTTCTGTGGGTTCTCACCTGAACGGAGTCTCTGGAGTGCTCTCAAGTAGGAAGGTTGAGCCTTTGTTCACACTTTGTGTTTCCAGGGTTGTTTGCAAAACGTATTTGGACAAAAGTGTATTGTTGTTACTAAATCTTGTCCACGCTTGTCACCTTTGTCATTTCTTTCTTGTGTGGGTTTAGTGGGGAGCAAGGCTGGAGTACTCTTGAAGCGTCTGCCGTGTGGCTTATGTGCAGCTTTCCCTTCATGTGTGAATTCCCCAGTGGGCAGTGGTACCGGGCTATTGTGAAATGTTTTCTGCAGTGCAACGTTTTTGAGGCTTTTCTCCTGTGACCCACCCGACCCACCACATCTGAGAACGCCTGCACTTCACTTTAAAGCAGTCACCCTATCTCTCATGAGAGGGATCAAGCATGCTGAGTTTCAGATTTAGC